ACATATATATATATATATATATATATATATATATAAACAAAAAAATCACGTTACCTGACATTGAAGCCAGTTCAGTAGGCATAAAACCCTCGGTACGGATCTGTTGCCATGTCCCTGTGGCGAAGTGGAACCTCCACAGCTCCCTGAACAGTGGGTAGTCTTCGTTCTCCGAGCCACCCGATTCGTCGTAGTCGGGGTTGTATCCTCCGAACACATAGAGGTTGGTGTTGTCAGCCACACAGCGATGGCCGCTCCGGGCTGGAGGTGCTCTGTGACCTACAGAGACAGACAGCAGCCTATTGATGACGAGACAAAGATAAATAGCTACACAGCTCAGTTAGTGGCGAAGATGAGAGGTCCTCACTGAGTTTCTGTCTTCAAAGGTAGAAGAAAAGATTTAAGATGTGGAAAAAAATGATATCCAATGTTTGCTGCTGGTTTCGCACTGTTATTATTCCGAAAGCACAATACAACGTCAGCGGGACAGTTCTGGAAAGAAAATGGGAGATTAAAGATATTTGAGTTCACAGAGTCACCTGTGAAACGAAAACTGCTATTAGTTTAGTTTCGACACATTAGCCTTTATGATTTTACTACATTTAAAGGTAAGCAGTTGGAAAACAAAAATGTACCTGCATTTCAGATATAAATTAGATAAGCATACTCATTTTTAATTAGATCAGCAATATTATGAATAAAGTGAGCAAATCCAATCCACCCATCCTACTTGAAATTAATACTTGAGGCTGTAAATGAAAACTGAGTAAGCTTCATAATCTCCAACCAGATTTACTCATATTTAATGCAGCAGAGTTTTATAACGAGATACAAATATGGACAGATGTGGAAGTGACTCGATTCAGGAATCAGGATTAGCCTTAGATGAACTTCCTTCTCTTAGGCAAAGCTTCAGAATGTGCTTTTGTATATTCCATATTTGTTCAGTATCATATAAATACACAAAAGAAGAGCATACATATAGGTAACAGTGACACAACAGTAACCCCAAATTAATTAACTAGTTAAAATCCACATAAGCCCTCATTTTTTGGCAAGCCCTAGTTAATTAAACGTTTATGTCAAAGAAGCTATGGCCACTGACCCTAAACACAATGCACAGATACACAAACAGGATCTTAGAAGAAACAACTCCTTTTCTAAATATATGCTTTTATTTATTTTTATTAATATAGTAATAATGATAATATTATTATTATTATAACAATAATAACAATATATTTACATTATTTACACATTCATATGTACATACATATACATATATACACAACTTTATTATGATTTGTATAAACAATATT